TTTCTCTCTTTCTTTCTCTCTCTCTCTCCCTCTCGTTGTCTCTCTTTCTTGCTCTCTCTCTCTCTCGTTGTCTCTCTTTCTTGCTCTCTCTCGTTGTCTCTTTCTTGCTCTCTCTCTCTCGTTGTCTCTCTTTCTTGCTCGCTCTCTCGTTGTCTCTCTTTCTTGGTCTCTCGTTGTCTCTCTTTCTTGACCTGTCGTTGTCTCTCTTTCTTGACCTCTCGTTGTCTCTCTTTCTTGGTCTCTCGTTGTCTCTCTTTCTTGACCTGTCGTTGTCTCTCTTTCTTGACCTCTCGTTGTCTGTCTTTCTTGACCTCTCGTTGTCTGTCTTTCTTGACCTCTCGTTGTCTCTCTTTCTTGACCTCTCGTTGTCTCTCTTTCTTGACCTCTCGTTGTCTCTCTTTCTTGCTCTCTCTCGTTGTCTCTCTCGTTGTCTCTCTTTCTTGCTCTCGTTGCCTCTCTTTCTTGCTCTCTCTCGTTGTCTCTCTTTCTTGCTCTCTCTCGTTGTCTCTCTTTCTTGCTCTCTCTCGTTGTCTCTCTTTCTTGCTCTCTCTCTTTGTCTCTCTTTCTTGCTCTCTCTCGTTGTCTCTCTTTCTTGCTCTCTCTCGTTGTCTCTCTTTCTTGCTCTCTCTCGTTGTCTCTCTTTCTTGCTCTCTCTCGTTGTCTCTCTTTCTTGCTCTCTCTCTTTGTCTCTCTTTCTTGCTCTCTCTCGTTGTCTCTCTTTCTTGCTCTCTCTCGTTGTCTCTCTTTCTTGCTCTCTCTCGTTGTCTCTCTTTCTTGCTCGCTCTCGTTGTCTCTCGTTGTCTCTCTTTCTTGCGCTCTACCTGTCTGGTACTGTGTTGTCAGTGTCCTATCGAGCACAGACAGTAAAGACACTTGCTAGTAGTGTGGGGAATGATTAGAACCCCATTACTTTATGCCACAGTGGCAATGTTGTCGCCAGAACAGGAAGTGAGGGGAAATATCCCTAGCGAGACACAGACAGCTGACTGTCTTTAAAGTGAAAAAGTTTTGGTTAGACATTTGGCTTGCAATTTAAAGCCACACTGCAAAATAAATGTCAGAACAATCAGTAAATCTAGAGATCTAAACTGCTGACTATGCAAATCTTGACTTTCCTTAAACTGACCCGCCGCATACTCAATTCTGAGCCCCAATGGTTCTTTAATAAAATGGGGACTTCACTGACCAGTAGGGAGCCATAAGGGGCTGCAGGCCTGGGGTTTTTGTAGTTTTTGCGGTGAATCTGCTGGGCAGCAAGAAATGCTGGGACTTTGCAAATTCTGCAGGAGGATCTTTGCTTTGTAAAACCTTCAGCCCTCCAATTGTGTCTTTGTGTTGAAAGCAAAACAGATATAACATTACAAAGCTAATTACTTTGAAGAACAGGGAGCCATTTTTAACGATAAGAAGCCATGTAGTGTTAATTATTTACATATTTTTCTGCCTTTTTCCCCCCATTTTAAGAATTGCACATTTAATTAGGTAAAGGGACAGATAGAACGGGGACTTCCAAGTATCCACAGCGTGAACTACAAGGGAAATTATTACTCTAAGTGCGGTGTGAGGTTTATTAAAAGTCTTAATCAACAAAAACTTCCCATTAAAAACATAATCAAGCCCATTATATTTGTGTTTCGGGCACTTTCCCACTTTTTGTCCCCCCAGTCATTTAAGCCATTATTGCCTCTTAAATACCAGGTCTTTGAATCGTCTCCTCGGTCCCCTCAGAGCATGAGCTGTCGTTCATTGTTGCTGCGTGTCCCCCTGGCAGGGCGGTGAGCGATTTTGCAGCAGCTGCAAAAATTATCTCATGAGTGTGTTTGTGGCGAGAAAAAAAAAAAAGGACGGTGCTTTGAAGTCAATAGTAGAGTTGTGTCAAATATATTGGAACACGATTCCGTGCATTACTGCACTTGAAATCAAAGTGGGGACATGTCATGTCAAATGAAATGCAAGTAACAGTAATTGGACCACGTTTCTATGCTCCGAGTGCAGATTGCAAAAATGTTAACAGCTGTAGCTAGCGTGTATATTGGTGATTTGCTGTTTTTGTATAAATGATGCAATTCTTATGATTTTTCTTTTCAGTTCCTAGAAATCAATGTGTTAAAAAAACAAGCTAGTGACCTCTTCTGAAGTCATACTGCTACCCTATGTGGCTGGTTGTGATGATGATTTCAACAGACTAGTGAAGGGTGGGGGGGTCTGGCAATATATTGGGCAATCCATTGGAGGTTACTCAATACAGTCCCTAATGATGATGTCATACCTGTAATTTGTAGCTTCATAGACTTGTATTTGGCTACCATAGCAAATTAAATTCCAGCTCCAGCCTTTACTTTATCTCCTCTTCGATCAAGTGGATACTAGTACCTAATGGGGCTGGTGGCGAGGATTATTTCAACAGTCTAGCGAAGGAGGCATGGGGAGACATATTGGGCAATCCGTTAGAGGTTACTCAATACAGCCCCTTATGATGAGGTCATGCCTGTAATCTGTAGCTGCATAGACCTATATCTGTAAAAAATAAGTCAAGCCGACTTGCTCTTAGACCGGTCCCTGGAGCTTCTTTCCCCCTTCCGACTGCCTGCTTCTCTGGTCACTGAAGCCAGTCTCCAGCTATGCTGCCACATTGAAATGTTCCTCAGTGTCCTCACGCCTATACACTGTGTATAGAACTTGATGAATTATGGGACCCTTTACCGCTTCGGGGGAGAGGGGCTCTGGGGAGCAGTACCTGGTTTGGCTTTTGTCCTACTTGGACTGAAAGGTGGACAGCCAATCTGGTGAGATATATGCACACTTGTCAGTCTTGTGCTGCTTCTCCTTCAGGGCTTGTGCACACCATACCAGTTGGGGGGCGTGTGCCCTTACAGTGCTGATGTGTTTGATTGAGCTGCATTGCACTGTTTTTACAACTTTATTAAAAATGCCAAGTGACATGTCATTAAGTTCTATAGGCTCACTACAGTGCGATGCGATTTGCACCACATCTCACTGCGGTGCACTTAAAAACAAATAAAAAATGCATGCCATATTTTTTTTTAAGCGCTCACTACCGCAGTGGTGTGAACTGTCAACATCCATGACAATGCAAATTGCCTTGCCTTGCATTCGGCCTGTGCAGAATAAAACGTCCGGCGCAGATGGTGTGAACAAGCCTTCACCGTCCATTCTCAGGGTGGGTGGGTGACCTAGCTGTGTTGCATGACGACAGAAAAGTCAGATCACCAACATCTCGGAACTGGAAAGGCAGAATTACAAATCCTTCAGCAGCTCCCACAAATGTACTTCAGCTTTAGCTGGTTGCTTGGCGTTCAGCTTTAAATAGGACTCACGTGGCTGTCCCTGTGACATAAAAGATAAATGCAATCTCTTTAAAGCGTGTAGGTTTTTTTTGTTTTAAATAATTTTTACTTACTTATGAGATAATGAAGGTTCAAAGAAGAAGAAAGGGAAGAGTCCCCTTTGAACCAGCAGATTATTGCTATGGAGTGGCCCTGTTGATCGTGAACACCTGGTAGCATATGAGCAAATGATTCATTAGTGCAGCGATGTTACTGTTGGGCCTCAAATGGAAGCACAAGAACAGTGGAGGGTGGTTGAGTTTAAATTAGAGTGAGATGGGAAATCTATTTGCATTTACAAGTTGAAATGGGGGTGGGGGCGATATATAAACGATGGGCGGAACCAGTGTTGTGGTTGACATTTTTTTTTTTTTTTCTACAAAGATGTTGAGAGATGAATACAATTAAAATGAGGGGATTTTAGACCACTACTCTTAAACAGAGAGCTGTATCATCAAGGCAGAGAAAGTTTTGTTTTTTTATACAAAACATCAAATGTGCTTTCAAGACTCTTTTAGTTTCCCTGGGTGTTAGGGGGGAAGGCGGCCTGTTCCTCATTATCGCTACTTCTAAACATAGTGTTTCAAGTCCAAAGTGTTGTGGTTTGTTTTGTTTTTATTTGATATGTGTATCTGTGTAAACAGTTTTCTATTTCTTGCTTTCCCCCCCAATTAGATGATCATGGAAACAGCAATGGCAGTCATGTGAAGATCTTTCTACCCAAGAAGCTGCTCGAATGCCTACCAAAATGTTCAAGCTTACCAAAAGAGAGGCATCGTTGGAACACTAACGAGGTATTTAAATGATCTTCTTGACAGAACTGCTAATATTTTTCTGATGCGCCGCTTTGTTTTCCTTTAGCCTTGGTCGTACAACGGCGGTCTTTCCCAGTTCTCTCTGTTCTGCAAGGACTGTGGAGTGGCATGACTCCGGTTCTTTGAGGGTGTAGTCGTTGTTTCCAGTGCTGTTGTTTTTTGGGGGGGATTAAAGAATGAGGACTAATAACCTAAATCCGGGTTTATAAAGTAGAGGAATACATCTTGGCTGTGACCTGGAAGTATCGTTTAGACTGAGAATCCAGCATTGGGTTTCATGTAAAAAATTTGTTTCAAAGGAGTCTGTCACTATGAAACATTTGCTTGGACATTGAACTGTTCACTTATAAAAGTGATGTTTCTGTCAAGTCCCGTCTGTGTCCAGATTAATGTTACAGTGCTATGTTGGATAATTCCATACAGCGTCTAGAGCGCCCGACTCCATAAAGCTGTTTAAATAAAAGGCAACAAAACTGCAGGATTTCTCGGTTGCCCAAATTTAGGTTTTTCAGCATTGTTTTTCAAGCCGTGACAGGTTCTATTTCGAATAAACCAGTGATATTGCTTATCTGGTGATTAAAAATGGAATACTGAAACCTAGAAGAAGCCTGCATGCATCAACAGAGGTTTGGGAAGGAGGAAAGGCCGAATCTAAAACTGCAACAACTAATCAACTAAATCGATATTAATCGATTATGAGAATAGTTGGCAACTATTCTCATCAATAATATTTTTTTTATTTTTTTTTATACAACCAATCGATTAGTTGAAAAAATAATCTTTAGTTGCAGCACTAGCCGAATCATCCTTGCTAAGTTAATTGAGCGCCGCAAAGTTTCGGAGCTTCCAGGGCATTTGGGTAGAAAGGTGCTGGCATGCACAGGCACTTCAGGTTTCGTGCATTTCATGTAGGCATTGCTTTTTACTAGACTTTCTCAACCTTCTTAAAACGGAGAAACTCTTAAAATAACTTTGAGGTCTTAAGGAACCCTTGCTAATAATGATATCTACATCTCGCGGTACATTAGCGTGGATGGCAAGTTGATCTATAAGAAAAAATAAAAGAATAAAGATTTGGTGTATTTGACATCCAGGGCTGTTCTATACACTAAACTTATTTTCAGTAATAATGAAATGAAACAAATGATGATTGGCCAGGCAAGGGATGCAGACACGGAAATTTGCACTGTTCCCTCACATTGGTGATCAGTGGGTAGAATGCTTCTTATATAAGTGGTGATTGGGAGAAATGCCTCCTTAAAGATGGTTAAAAAAATGATCATGGTGTCTTTGGTTATTTTTTAATTACTTACAATGCCCCCAGCAACCTCTGGAGGAACTTTAGTAGGGAAAGGTTGGTATAGGCAGTATATGTTGATAGGCTTACTTTTAATATGAATGGCTGTATCCACCAAACTCAACTAAGGGTTTAAAGTGAACCTGTCTACATTTAAATGTAAAAGTCCTGCCAGACACCACAAGATGCCTGGTATTAACTTTAACCGTCATATGTACATCTCTATGAAACTATTACACTTCATTGGTAGGATTGAGCTTGGGTTGGGACTGAACCTTTAAGAACGAGGTCAGTGGTGGCCCAATTGTTTGTGTCTGGGACATTTCCTTGTCCCTCAACTGCATGTAAACAGAGGCAATAAAAAGTCAGGAGGTTCAAAATGGCTCAGATTCTCTTCCGATCTGGTTCTGGGCAAATCGAAGGGTCTTGTTTACCACAATACGAATTCTCATACTGATGTTGGCAGTAGGGATCAATTGAAGTCCTGATTCTATTTCTTCCAGAAACTGAAGGACAATGCTCATTATGTTGCCAGGGTAAAGGCACCTCAAGTTTTCTTTGGACTCATTTAGACAATTTAATGAAAGAGACATTTTGTGTAGATATTCCTTTTTAAGGTTCGAATGCTTGTAGAGCTTACTCATATTCGGGGTGGTGCTGCTTTTGCAGTAATATTACTTGGCCCTATCCAGAGCTCTTATCTGTGATAATGTCCAGAGCGCGCTAACCTAGATTTCTGTTTACTGCAGTCCTATATGAAGATGAATTCTAGCTGGTTGCCTGTGTTGTTGTCCCTCGCAGTGTTGTCGTTGACTTACACATTGAACACGTACGATGACCTTTATCTAGCTTGTTTTTCAAGGTGTTTTCCACGTAGTATTGTGATGGTGAGTTTCCTTTTGATTGGGTTGTAAATGATCAGTCAACCAAAAATACACATCACAGCCATAAATAGTATTCAAATGTAATGGGGTTTTGTTTCCTTTTCTCGGCAAGTGTCTATCTCCTGGTCCCCTTCTATGCTCAGTAATTTTTCCAACTGACCCTTATGAAGGCCACAGTAGTGGCATGTGATTGACACCCCTTCAGCCGGCGATTTCTTATCACTGTACTTTTTTAGTTTGCAGGATCTCTTTACGATCCCCTGGCACGTCTGTCTTTAATTAATCAGGAAATGCCGCCTCTTGACATGAAGTATTTTTTAAGGAGACCGGTTACCCCAGCCAGCTATTTGTGTGCTGGATGACTGGTCTCCTCACCACCCTTACTAGCTCTGCAGGGTGCCCCCTTAGTTTGTAGGGTGCCTTGTAGACCCATTCTCTCAGAGCTGCTGGAAGCCACAGGTCCTAAAGCCACATGGTGATGTTAACCCAACTTCAAAGAAGATTTTCAGTGCACTAGAACAAGGTAAGTGGAAAAAAAACAGGTTAGCAAAAACGTGATGGGCTTTCAGAGTAAGCAATTACCAAGCTTTCAGCAGCTTTTTTTTTTTTAAAGCACCCCGAAGCTTCAGTTTGCTGTTATTGAACGCAATCTTGAAGGGAGTGTTGCATATTACTTTAAACATGCTGTTAGCTTTCTTCAGTAAGCTTTAAGCATTGCCTTACCTTGCTAGCAGCTTATTATTGTGTTCTTTTTAAGTAACCGCCAGCAATCTTTTTACAGTTTGTTTTCACTACTTCAAGGCTGGAACTGAAGGGATGCTTTAAAGGACAGGTGCATCTTTGTCAGCTTGCAGTAAATCAGTAACTTCCTCTTCCCATTTGTGTACTTATATTAGTTCCAGAGCTGCTGCCTCCTTCTGTGTTATCTGCTTGTTGTAAAAGAAAATGTCTTCAATGCGGGCTCCACCTGCGCAGTAAGTTTTGAATTGGGCCATCTACAGAGGACCTCCAGTCTCGGTATATGGACCCATTCACCGCGGCCAGCTGAAGAGATACAGCAAAAGCTGGTGAAAAGGTACAGCTCTCCTTTTAAAGCCCTCCCTGTCGCCAAACCATTAATTTTAACGGTGATCTTCCTATAAGGTCTTATGTGCAATCAACTTATTTTAGGTATGGTGAAAGAAAAAACCTTTCTGCTGGGTGCTGTAGATGGTTCCCTTGTCGCAATGCTTACCCCAGACATCCCCAATAGCGGTGGAGGGGGGGGTGGGGTGTGCTTGTAGTGACTGCGGATGGCGCCGCCAGACAATAACTGTCATGTCATGTCATAACTTGAAATGTCATGTCACCAGAGCCAATGGTTCTGCAGGGTGCTGCCATCTTGGATTTTATGTCCGCAGCCCAAGCAGACTCAGAGCTGTCACTCAACTCACACTCTGTAATATTCTCCTTCGCTCCATCCCCAGCAGATACAAAAAGTAGTACCGTATGTAGTGAGTTGTGGGGCGGAGGAGCTGGGCCTGCAAAGACAGTAATTGGACATTTCTCCAGAAGAGGCGCTGGCTATGGTGTCTAAGGAAGGCTAAGGAGTCTGTGCTAGAGAATTGACTCTCCTGAAGAAGTCAATTTTGCTAGCAAGTTTAGAGGCACGTAGGAAATCAGTTTTATCAGACCGGAAGTGAGAATAAATCTGTAACGGGGGCACAGACAAATGAGGAGAAAACTGCTTTATTGCTGTGTCGCTGTAGCAAAATGTGCCTCGTTTTGTCTTTGGTAGGACGGGGGTCTCTTTAACGGCATCCAGAAAGCTATTTGAGACTTCTGAAAGCTTTGATAATTTTTGCTGCGTGCTGTTTTTGCTGGAGTTAGAAACCTAAAAGAGTGACGACAGAAAGAAGACCGCGTGGTCCATCCTGTTTGTCCCTTTTTATTTATTTTTAGCCTTTTTGCCTGAATATAGAGCCGTGTTGGTCCCAAGCGTGTTTAAATTCACTTACTGTTGACTGACTTCGCTACCTCTGCGGAAAGTCTGTTCCAAGTTCTGCTTTTTGAAGGTTGTTGTTTTACCCAAAATATGTAAAGAGCTCATTTCCATATGCCCTTAATATTAAGTAAAATGAGAAGGTTGAAGCGTAACCTTTGTTTTATCCAGAGTATTCTCGGGCTATTTTTGTGCCTCTTTTGTATATTATTTCAAGAAAATATAAGTTGCTATTCACATTTTAATTAGCTGTGTGTGTGTTTTTTATCTTCTGCCCCTACTTAGGGAAAGTGGTGCATTGCTTTGACTAAAGCCGGCCATACACAAGTAGTATTTCCTTTGTTTTTCCAACGTTCCTTCGATTTTCTAATAGAATAGGTCATATCTACTATTGATTTTGACTGTAGTGACAAAAAAAATCAGGATGAACATTTTTTCGAACGAAATTCTGATAGTGAATGTGGTTTTCATTCAGAGGAAGCTCCATTCATTCCAAAATCAAATGATGAAATCAAACGAAGGCTCTGGTGGCATTATCGAAAGTTCTGAAGAGATTTTTTTATTTGAACGCACAATCTTTGCCAGCGAGAGGATCGCTAATGGACTGCTTACCTTTTGCTATAAAGTTTCTACCTTGCTAGCTGGAATGGAAAATGTTGTTCCCTGCCTGTTGTTTAAGAGCAATGCTATTGGCCAACCCGGTAGTGATTCCTTTAGACCTCATTCACACCAGATGCTGTGCGTTCCGGCCCAATTCTGGCCAGAACGCACTGCCTCACATTGCGGCTGTCTCACTTTTTTGTGGGGCAGGAGGGGT